GAGGACTTTTTAGCACATGTTCCTGCACATTAAGAAGCCACAGGATCTCAGAGATAAAGATAGAAGCACCTGCGTCTCCGTGGGGTTTCTATCCATCCTCTAATACTGCAGAAGAAGTCTTCAGTATAAAGTAATGAACGTCTTTGGCACTGAGAACCTTGTCCTTGCAGCTGCTGATTGTTTAAAATGCCATTTTGGAAATCACCTTATTATACAGACAGTCTGTTGGACAAGGAAATCTAATCCATCGTCGTGTCTGGAAAACACCGGAGGCAGCGGAGAAGTGACCTTTTAACCTTTTGTGCACATTTCAGCTCCCTGGTGATTCAAAGAGGAGCATCATTTACAATCGATTGTTTTTGATAAGCAAAAGTAAAAACAACCTTATTTGGACACTTTTTTGCCGATTTCAGAGACGTGCACTGTTCATTTTACATGCCTTTCCACATGCGTATATATTATTATAGTAAACAGTATTTATTTTACAATCCGTTATGTGATATTCTATTATATAAATGTTTCCAACCTGTTGTTAACAGGGATGAACCCCTCTTTAATGGTCTCACATGCAGAGCACACAGTGACATGTGTTCTCTGCTTTTGACCCATCCTAGTGCCAGGAGTCTAGTACTAGGAGCAGTGGGCAGCTATTGCACAGCGCCCGGGGAGTGGGGGGGAAAGGGGGGTGTCCGTGCCTTGCTCAAGGGCACCACGGCAGGGCAGGAGGTGAACTGGGACCTCTCCAAGTAGCAGTTCACACTCCATATTTAGGTCTGGTCGGGGACTTGAACCGGCTCCCAGTCCAAGCCCCTACTGACTGAGCCACTGCCGGACAACACATTCTGTTCATCAACATGTGCATAATAAAAATTAATAATAAATATCAATTACATTTATTATTATTATTACAAAAAACAGTATGTATTATACTGTGTATTCTATTAATATATATATGGTTGTCTTATTCCTGCAATTTACATATACAACAACAACAACAAAATAATGAATTGAATTATTTTTAATAGTATTATTATCACATGACTTAATTGAATTGATTTATTTAAAACAAGGGACAGTGTACATTAATCAACATATTAAAAACATATAAATGTACTCAAATGAGCCAAAAGGCTAGTTTTCAGCGATAGTGAGATGGTGATAGGCACCCTAAAAGCAAGAATACAAATACCACTACATTGTTATACCAAGAAAATGTACATATTTACAATAGACGACATCACTGAATACAGGTAAGGAGCAAGTCATGATAATAAAGACAACATTCAACACACACACACACACACACACACACACACACACACACACACACACACACACACACACACACACACACACACACACACACACACACACACACACACACACACACACACAATTTTGGGAAAAAATCTAATTGCGATTTTTCTGACAAATATTGCGATTCGAATTGCGATATTTGTTTTTAAAGCGACCCAACGGAAGTTTATTGTAAAATGCGGCCATAACTCCGGCAGGTCGCATCAACGTGCTCCCGTCTCTAGCACCCCCGCAGCCCGAGCTACGAGTGAAAGAACTAAACTTACAACGAAACTTCCGTTGGGTTGCTTTAAAGTCAAGCTTCAGTTTAAGATTCACCCTGTAATAGAAACATGTGATGGAGCATTACTAACCTGACTCAGATGGTTCACCAAACCATCTAAAGCTCCATTGGAAGCCATTTGGAAAGGGCAGGCACTTTCAAAGATACTTGGCAGGTGATTGGATCAATCTGTCTATCACCTTCTATCATGGGCTACTTCTGATTGATTAACAATGGCTGGTACATGTGGAGCACAGCACTTCTGATTGGTGTGGTGTGGATGACTGACACACAATGAAAAAAAAAAAAAAATTGTAAAAAAAAAAAAAAAGTTAAAAAAAATCGCAGGCTTTGCGATTTGATAATCGCGATTCCGATTTAAAATCGATTAATCGTTCAGCCCCCACACACACACACAAGTGCTGACACTGTTGGTTATCAATGAGCCACTTTTTAACACTGCTTGAATGAGTTGTAAAATGAGGATTCAGCCTCGCACGGCTTAGTACGGTGCAGTTGGCCTTGGTAGGCCAGGCTCACTTTATGCTGCGTCTCCATTACAGTTTAGTAGCTGGGGCAGTAACTATAGTAACGCAGTGTAGGCGGAGCCGTGACGTCATCTTCAATGCGAACCACAGAAAACCAACATCAGCCGTTAGCTGTTAGCACTCAAGCTCACAGCTCCTCATATCTGTTCAGAAACTAGACACAAGTTAAACAAGTACAAACCACAGACTGTCTGTGTCATGGAGAATACAGTCGCTGGTTTATTTATGTCTGTATAGGCCGTTGTTGTGAGTGTGGACGGTCGGAGCATGCTGCGTTAGCTTAGCCAAGCTCCATTCAGAAAACACGCATTTTAAAAGGTGTTTAGCCTGCCGTCTGTCTGCAGACTTGTCAAAGCATTAATTCATGGTTTTTACTAACCGGTATCAGTATGTTGTTACTTCGGCATCATTTAGAAACGTGTATTACAATTAAATCACGGTCAAATATGTTCATTTTGTTGTAGTTGTAGCCCCTTGCTGTCACTAGTTTAGCATACTCAACCTCGATTGGAGGGCCAGAAAAAAGGTGAAAAAGTAGCCCTGACCCGGAGCTACCCGGGTTCGGCACGGCACGCTTAAACCGTGCTACACGCTGCAGTGGAAATGCGCCATTATTGGTTGTGGTATTGAATTCCATTGATGGGATATGTTGAATGAAAAGACAGCCTGGCTAAATGCACTTTTCCTAAATGGGATGGTGCAGTCTCCCCTAGCCGCACCTCTAGCCCTGGTTGAGGTGGGCTTTAGGCTGATGAAGCCAGCCAGAGGAGGAGGAGTATACAGTCTATGGAGCCAACCCACATGTGATTTTATAAACTAAGCAGACATTTTTGTAAACTATGAGATTTTCCCAGTTGAACAGATTATACTTTTGAACAATGAGGCAATGATGATACCGGAATGGCTTTTTGTCTAGTGTTTTGAGTGCTTGTTTATATAATGATTCCAGTGGTTTTGTATATTATAAATTGCATTGTTTGAGGAGCCTTAAAGATGTTCATTGCTGTAGGTACTGTATTGTGCGTAATGATGATACAACCTTTAAATCCTTAAAATATTTGAGTTTTCTTTTGTGAGGTGTGACATTCCTGATGCTGACCCCATGCTGCTTAAAACCAATAGGCTCATGGTAAAAAGCACAATGGAATAAACCTCTAATCTGCTTTATATCCTATTAACCCTTAATCTCAAGTCATTTCAGTGCTGCTGCTTTCAGTCGTCTCTTTAAATATAATCCTTCACAGTAACAACATTTCACATATTTCACCCATGAGGATAAACTTGCATTTTTATTGTGATTATTTTACAACATTGTTTCACAGTTAGGGGTTACATTTACATTCACAACATGACATTCATTTTTAATAAATCACATGATGCTGTCAAAGGCGTTCGGCAAGTTTGGATTGATTTAGAAAAAGCAGGACAAATATTTAAAATGTTGATTTACATCAATTGTATTTATAGCGCTTTTCTTGAGCGTTGAGGTTCAAGAAAAGCGCTATAAATACAATTTATTATTATTCATAATAATATTCAGAAAAATGTATTTGATGATGGAAAAAAAAACAAATATACCCCAAAAGTAAAGTTTGTCCCCCGAGGGTTTTGAAAAATAATAACGAAACGTATTGTGTATTTTCATTATAACCTGTTTTATAATGACTTTATTTAGTCATCATAGATGCGGCTGTATGCACGGATATTTATATATATATGCTTTAATTAGTGTTAGGGTAAAGTAATAAGGTGATATGTATCTTCGTCGTGAATCCACTTCCTTTGCTTAAGCCAGAAATTCACTTTTATTTATTGAGTATTAAAGTGATGCATTTGATTCGTTCCTGTGTTTTTAGGAGGAAGGACGCTGCTGCTCTGTGTTGTAATGCAGACAAAAGCACACATTTACATAATTCCCTGCCTCTCTCATCAGAAAATGGAATAAGTATCTGATTTAATTGGATAAATACTACCTGGAAAATAGGCAGACGATGGCAAACCAATTATTTTTGTTACAACATCACCTGCTGTGCTCAGTGAGATGTTCTGTATGCACTTTTTAAAATGAGCCGCAGGTAATAAGAGCCATTAAAGTAACTCCTCATTTCAATAACCAACTGTTTTAATATTTATTTATTTCTATTCTTTATTCTATTTTATCATGTTTTATCAAACCCCTGTAAAGCGTCTTTGAGCACCTGGAAAAGCGCTTTGAAATAAAATGTATTATTATTATTATTACTAAGCTGCAGTCGGATCTGATTAATGTTAGGCAATGAGAAGCAGATGGAGAAGGATTCAGATCCATATTTATTTATTAGATTTATTCATGTAGTTCATAAGAAAGCATGTCCTCAGGGATGAGAGTAACACCTACGTCACTTCCGGGCGAAAATTACGGCCCCGCCCACTTTTGGGGGAAAACAAAGCTGTCTTTTGAACGGCGGTCAATACAAATTCTGAAGTTTTTGCCAATCCGATCAGAATTTTTTGAAAACCGTGGATTTTCTGATCTTCAAAGAGCCCGATTACGATGAACAATTACATTCAATCATTTGAAAATCGACAATCGGTCTCGATCGATTTCCAATGATTTAATGTAATTTTTTGCCTGACTGGCCATCGTAACCGGGCTCTTTGAAGATCAGAAAATCCACGGTTTTCTTACATTTCTGATCGGATTGGCAAAAACTTCAGAATTCGAATTGACCGCCGTTCAAATTACAGCGTTGTTTTCCCCCAAAAGTGGGCGGAGCCGTACTTTTTGCCCTGAAGTGACGCATGTGTTACTCTCATGTATACTCCATACTGTACACCTTGCACATTCTTCTGTATTCAATGCACAGCTCTTCACTTTAAATTCTGATATACTGCTTATGTTTTATTCCTGAGTACATTTTTTGTATCCATTTTCTTGTAGTCTTTTAATTTTATTTTAGATTTACTAATCATTTTCAAAAGGGAAATGTATATTTATTTTTTTCTTATTTTTTGTTTGATAATATATGTTTTATTTATTCTCTACTTTTATTCTGAAAATACTTTTCAAAAATATTTTGTTTTGTATGTTTTGATTTTATATTTATTATCCTTTTTTTGTTCATTTTATAATAATTAAAAATATTTTTTTTTTACCATCTGACAGGGCTTGTGTATGCACTGTTATTAGAGCTGCACAATTAATGAGCATTTTATAAAAAGCACAATATGGACAGACTTGTGCAATATCCAAATCGCAGATAACGAAATATTTGAATAAGGCAAAAATATGTAAAAACATCTGCCGAGGCTTACAAACAGCATTCTACAGACTTAATACAAAACCCTTGTCTGGTACACTTATTAATTACCTTTAATAAGGCAAATCATATGGCAATGGCAATATCAGTAAAAAGAATCACAATTAGTTATTTTCTCCAAAAGCAGCTTCAACAATTCGTACACCTCTGATTTAAAGCTTGAATGCAGATCAACATATTGTGCTTTTAAAAAATAAATAAAAGGTCTATAACTTTGCTTTGATTGCATCCCCCTCCACGACCCCGTGTGTCATCATCTGCTCTATTTCTTCAGATTTAAACCCAAATTCGTTCAGCACTTCCACCGTGTGTTCTCCGATAAAGGGATCGGAGGAGAGGCTCGGTTCTGCAGGAGTTCTGGAGAGAACCGGAGCCGGACGAGGACTCTGTTCCCCGTTAGAGTCCGTGAGGAAGGAGTTTCTCTCCTGGTTGTGAGGGTGGGAGCTCACCTGCTGGAAGGAAAGCACAGGTGTGACGCACGCATCCGTCCCGTCAAAAACCTGCGACCAGTCCTCCTGAGATTTAGAAGCAAAACGTTCGGTGAAGATTCGCCTCAGCTCCGGCCAATCAGTGAAGCTCATCTGAGGAGGAAGAGATCCAGGGTCCAGATCCAAGCCTATAGGAAGAGGAAATTAAATGTTAAAGGGGACCTATCATGCAAAATGCACTTTGTGATGTCTTCTCTCCATCAACATGTGTCCCCGGTGTGTCGGGGAATTCACGCAGCGTCAGGAAATAAAACCCTCTCTCTTTTCCTCCGTACCCAAATCTCTAAAAACGGGGAACAACGGAGCTGATCCAGATTTGCGTCCGATATGACGTAATATCTGAAATGTGGACCCACGGCCCAATCAGAAACGTTGCTATCAGAAACAATGCCCGACTGTTTTGGACGTAATATGGTCGGTGTTTCCATTAGCATCGCTAACACTCAGAGCTAACCTGTACTGGAGAGCATGTGTGTGAAGAAGCAGGAAGTAAAAAGGAACTCACCTTGTGGTATAACCGGCAAGAGAGAAAGCCTTTGAGCTCCAGACTGTTTCAGAGAGAATCCTTGATAATCCATGATATGGCGTTTCATCACGGCAGCATTTAGTTTAGACAGTAGCTGCCGGGTCCCGCATGAGCTCAGCCCCCTCCTCTTTAAAGCTTTATACCCAAATCAGCACTTTAGAAACAGGAAGTGAAATAGAGGGATATGAGGCATGGCTAGAATGATCTGTTTGGTATTTGGAGCTAAACACTTCATAGACATGTTTTTTATATATTTGTATATATCTGAGACCTAGCATGATAGGTGACCTTTAATCATCAGTTTGCACGTACTACTTTAAAGGTCTCCTATTATACTGTCTTTCATCACAGGTCTCAGATATATACAGAACCTGTCTCTGATTGGCTGAAACACCAAACAGATCATTGTAGCATTACCCATAATCCCCTCTGTTTCAAAAGTGCTGATTCTCTGTCTGTTACTTCAGATGAAAATAAGGAGCCATATATACAGAGCATGTCTCTGAAGTCGCAACATTTGAATAAAGCAAAAATATGTAAATATATCTGAATGAAGTTTTTCCCCCGGCCTACAAACAGCATTCTACAGACTTAACACAAGATCCTTGTTTGGTACACTTATTAAATGGTGGAGGCAAAATTAAGGTCTACAACTTTGCTTTGATTGCACCACCCTCCTGTGTGTCATCATCTGCTCTATTTCTTCAGATTTAAACCCAAATTCGTTCAGCACTTCCACCGTGTGTCCTCCGATAAAGGGGTCTGAGGAGAGGCTTCATGAGAGCAGCATTATATAACCGTTTGTCGGTTCTGCGCAGTACGAACCCTTCAGCAGTTGAGTGTAAAACTGCGGTTCGATGGCGCCCACGGCCACGTATTTTCCATCTGAGGTCTGGTAGGTGTCGTAGAAAGGCGCCCCGCTGTCCAGCATGTTCTCTCCTCGAGGGCGATCCCACATCCCGATGCTCTGAGACTTCCAGGCAAACGATCCCACGTACGCTGCTCCTTCCACCTGAGGAGAGACGGAGGAGAGAAGGAGGACATTAGAGGAGAAGGCTCTGTGTTTTTGTTAGGAAAATATCACTGGTCACCGGCTTGAGCTTCAATATCAGGATCCATGTATTTATTATCCTTGCAAGAAAGAGAGAAGTCATCAAGTAGTCATCACTGATATCCAAGAGAGGGAGTTACACAGTCACGAGATGGAGGAATACCGGTTCTTCTAGGTCAGGGGTGGCCAACCCGCGGCTCGCGAGCCGCATGCGGCTCGAGAGCCAGTTTCATGCGGCTCTTCAATTCATATCGAATTTTATATGTGTGAGTGTGGGGGAGAGACACGGACTCCTGACAGTTAGACCTGATATTTAATAGGTCTGTTAAGTATTGAATGCTGATCATTCTGACGTAATTTGACCGGTCAAAGTTGTTTGGGCACGGATAAAATCTCTCCGTTACTTTCGTCCCGGCTCTCCCTACGTGTGTATGTGTGGTGTCAGGTGTCAGTATGAGAGGATGACAGCGCCGCCGTCTAATTTTGATCAGGAGCGAAGCGGAGGGGTCTAGATCTGCATGAAGGGTGTTATTTTCCCATTATCCCGCTTATTACATGGCCACATTCTCAACAAAGTAACGATATGACTCCCAATATTAATTGAAATGCTTTTATAGATTTAGAAAATGTTTTATTGATTTAAAAAAATAGTACGCTATTATTTATTTAAAATGACATGCATCCGCTAAGAGAAATAGTCCGTTGTTACTGTTTGAACGTAGCAACGGCAGGAACTGCTTGACAGCGGTCTGTCTGTTCTGGATTAACAACGTGTCACGTGTTCTGAATTGACCAATCAGAATCGAGTATTAAACACTATCTGACCATGAATTGAGTTTGATCCTAAAATGGCAGGGAAGAAATGCACAGCTAAGCGAAAATATGAAGACGAACATAGGACGTTTTTAGTAGAGTGGGAGAGTTCATATTTTTTTATCGAACGCAATTGCAAGCCATTTTGCCTTATATGCCAGACAGCATTAACCCATTTCAAGGCTTCAAATCTTCAGCGCCATTTCACCTCACTCCATGCTAACATCGACCATGACTTCCCAAAAGGTACGGAACTTTGCAAGCAGAAGATAAACACCTTGAAAAGTCAGGCAGAAAAGCAGACACAGTTTTTCAAAAAAATAACGAAGCACTCGGAGACCGTAACACTTGCATCTTATCAAGTTGCTTGGAACATAGCACAAGCTAAAAAGCCGTACAATGAAGGGGAGTTTGTTCAAAAATGCCTCAGTGACGTGGTTGAAATCTTGTCTCCAGAAAACAAAAAACTGAAACAAGCGGTATCAGACGTCCAACTGTCCCGCCACACTGTTGAACGCAGAATATCGGACATTAGCACCGCCATTGAAGCGCAGTTACACTCTGATCTTCAAACATGTGAGTTTTTCAGTGTGGCATTGGATGAGTCTTGTGACATACAAGACAAGCCTCAGTTGGCAATATTTGCACGATCAGTCTCAAAGGATTGTGTTATAAAAGAAGAACTCCTTGATATTGTGCCATTAAAAGACAGAACCCGTGGCATCGATGTAAAAGAAACAATGATAAATGTGTTTGTGAAAGCAAATGTGCCCAAGCAGAAACTAACTGCAATAGCCACGGATGGAGCGCCATCAATGGTCGGATCTGTGAACGGGCTTGTGGGGCTGTGCAAAGCTGACAACACATTTCCCGAATTTTGGAATTTCCACTGCATCATTCACCGGGAGCAACTTGTGTCCAAATCACTGAATTTAGACAACGTCATGAAGCCTGTGATGGAAATCGTAAACTACATCCGCACGCATGCTCTTAACCACAGGCAATTTAAGAATCTCATCGCTGAACTCGACCAAGGGCTTCCAGGAGACCTGCCGCTGCACTGCACTGTGAGGTGGCTTTCTAAAGGCAAAGTGCTGTCTTGCTTCTTTGAGCTGTTGGATGCTGTGAAACTGTTCATGGAACAGAAGGACAAGGATTATCCGGAGCTCTCAGACCCCAAGTGGATTATGGATCTGGCCTTTTTGGTCGACATGCTGTGTCATTTGGACAGACTGAACCTGGATCTGCAGGGAAAGTTAAAAATGCTGCCTGACTTAGTGCAAATTGTATTTGCGTTTGTTAACAAACTGAAACCTTTTAAGACACATCTTCAAAAGGGAGAATTAGCGCATTTTCCCTCTCTGCTAAAAGCAAGCGCACAAGCCACCGGTGCCACCCGGAAAAAGCAAACAGCCCGTTATGCAATATTGATTGAAACCCTGCAGGAAAACTTTGCGACCCGGTTCCATGATCTACATGTGAAAAGGCCACAGATTACGTTCCTCGTTGATCCTTTTAATGCTGAGACGGACTGTTTGAAAGCCCCGCTAGTCAAGGACGAGGCGGTGGCCGAGTTGGAGATGATCGAACTTTCAGAGGATGACCGACTGAAACCTGTTCTGAGGGAAGGGACCCTTGAGTTCTGGAAAACTGTGCCGATCGAAAAATACCCAAATGTCAAACGGGCTGCGCTCAAGCTACTTTCAATGTTTGGGTCAACATACGTCTGTGAGTCTGTGTTTTCTACCCTGAAACATGTGAAATCCAAGCATCGATCTGTTCTGACTGACACACATGTGAGAGAATTGCTTCGAGTGGCCACAACGGAATACAAGCCAGATTTGAGGAGGATTGTTCAAAGCAAGGAATGTCAGAAGTCTCACTAATTTAAAGTAAGATAACAAACCTTTTCAATTTTGTTTACTGAGAGTTTGTGTGTGAGTGCACACAATGTTCATTGTTATGTTGTTATGTTAACTGGCCTCTGAATACTGGTAGGAGAGGTTTAATTCAATTTCTGTCAATATTATGGTGTGTGCCATTTACAATAAATCTGTCTGAGCTGAGCAGAGCTGTGTGTGTGTGTGTGTGTGTGTGTGTGTGTGTGTGTGTGTGTGTGTGTGTGTGTGTGGCCTAGCATTACTATACTTGTGGGGACCTAAATCTGTTGACACAGTCACGTGTGGGGACTCGCCTCCCTTATGGGGACAAATTGGAAGTCCCCATAAGGGGAATCATTAATTTTAGGGTGAAGACTTGGTTAGGATTAGGATTAGGGTTAGTGTAAGATTAAGGGTTAGGCATGTGTTGGTTATGGTTAGGGTTAGGATAAGTCTCCAGGAAATGCATGTAAGTCAATGTAATGTCCCCTGAAGTGATGTATACAGTGTGTGTGTGTGTGTGTGTGTGTGTGTGTGTGTGTGTGTGTGTGTGAAGTTTTATATTTTCATTTTATCTGTGAGAGAGAGAAGGGAGGAAGAAAGTGAAGGAGCACAGAGAAAGGCTGAGAACAAAAGAGAGAATGAGGGAGGGGGGGTGCACGTGCATCTGTGACTGTGTTTGATGTGGCTCTTTGCAGTAACATAGTCAAAATGTTGGCTCTTAACCTCTGACTGGTTGGCCACCCCTGTTCTAGGTAATCATACATCTTTATTTTCGTTCTCAAAATCCTGACTTTCTCAACATTTTGACTTTTTCTCAAAATCCTGACTTTTTTCTAAAGATCGTGACTTTTTTCTAAAATACTGACTTTCTCTCAAAATCTCAAAATTCTGACTTTTTTCTCAAAATCAAAAAATTCTGACTTTTTTCAAAATTCTGTATTTTTTCAAAAAATGTTGACTTTTCTCTAAATATTCCGACATTTTCCAAAAATCTTAAAATTCCGAATTTTTTCTAAAGATCTCAAAATTCTGACTTTCTTTCAAAATATTGTTTTTTTTTCTCAAAATCTAAAAATTCTTAATTTTTCTCAAATTCTGACTTTTTCTCAAAATCTAAAAACTCTGACTTTATCTCAAAATCTCAACATTCTGTCTTTTTCTGAATAGTTAAACATGTTAATTATCACTGGTCCCCGGCTTGAGCTTCAATCTCAGGATCCATGTATCTGTGATCCTCTCCAGAATGGAAGGAGTCATCACATACAGAGCATCAACTAGTTCCTGAACAGTGTCCTTCACATGCTGATATCAAGAGAGGGAGTTACACAGTCACAAGATGGAGGAATGCCGGTTCTTCTCGGTACTCATACATCCTGTCATGAACAAAATACAAATAAATGCCTCCTAAGCTAAATTTGAAGTTAATTCAGATTGGATTGAATAATGGAACCGGCCAAAAGCAACGAGATGCCTTCACTGTGATTATTTTTTCTACTAAGTCTACCGATAGGACTTTTATTTAAAATCGCCAAATGTTCAACCCTTCCTATTAAATGTTTTTAACCTGAGGAGAGAAGGAGGAATGAAGGGCTTTTTATTGCATATTATGATAGAAAATAATGCATCATAAGCTAACATTTGAAGTGAAGTCAGATTGGAAGATATATTTATTTGTGATATACACAATCCTTCCTATTAAAGGTCCCGTGTCATGGCCATTTCTACTGATCATAATTCCATTGTTGAGGTCTACTAGAATATATTTATACTGCGCAATGATCACATTGGTTTCTCATCCAGCATCTCTGTATAGTCTGTGTATTCACTCTGTCCTACACGGCTTGTTGTAGTTCCTGCCCCCCCCCCCCCCCTCCCTGTGAGCCCAGTGTGCTCTGATTGGTCGGGACGTTGCGAGGCTCGTTGCTGCGAGGAGCGGACAGGTTTCCGGGTCGGCGATACAGCGAGAACAAGCGAAACTCATCCTGAGCACACAAACACTCACAGCCGAAGTAAAAACAATAAGTGTGGCTTGATACTGAGAAAGAGAAAGGTTTATAGCGCTGTGAGAATGGGTCTGCGGAGAGCATTTCTATGCGATCCCAACTCGTCTATTACCAGCGTTCAGGGAGCTCGATGCAAGTCAATGGGACTCCCTGTTAGTTAGCAAAGGGGTCCTGGTGTGTGAGGGGCTCCGCGGATTGGTCCATTTGGGCCAATCCGGCCATTTGTTGTTGATCTGGGTTTTCACACGTCACAGAACCCAGG